TCAATACGTTATCCTATAAAGTAACAAACTATCCAGTGACAGAATCCATACTTTACTGGTAGTGTTCAGGGGATGAAGGTCTCACGTGATTGGCCAAAGCACCTCACACTGCAGTAATGCTCCCACTGTCCCTTTCTTCCTTGTGTTTGGCCGCTCATTCATCCCGTATCCTCACTACCCTGTTACATAACACTGCTACACCTGCATCTTAACAATGGTAAAGGTGGTGTGCGTGTGAATCTAGTACATCCATGCAAGCGCTTGACTTTTTCATGCACATAAAGGTTTTTGTTTTACACCACATTTCATTATATGGAGCATACGACTCAAAGGCACACATATGTAAAACGTGTATATAACACATTTCCCTGAGGGGAGAAGATGAGGTGAGTACCATGTGTAGTGGCTCCTACGCTGCTGCATATATGTCCTAGATGAGGATCAGATGACACACACACACACGCACACACACTAATTGTTGGCTTGTACACTTCTGCCACGCTGCAGAGTCACATATGTTCTGCTGCAATAATGTGAACTTTTATTACTGCCTTCAACACATGAGGACCGCTTTACTGTGTGACTCTGTATTGTTGCCTACAGAGATAAACACTTCAGTAGATTTATAAGACATCTGTAGCCTTGATATAAAGCCAGCACTTCTTAGTAAACTAGTCAGTGAAGGTGAAGTCAAAATACATGCCATTATTTGTTGTGAATACAACGATATCTGTGTTATTATAAAGTAATACAAAAGAGATTAAAAAGAAATCCTTTACCAGACTTTGAAAGTGAACCTGGCTGCAGTTGGATTTAATTAAAGAAACTAACACGCCCAGTTTCTGTGAAGAGATGGCCGAGAGACACAATGTGTGTTTCTTAGTAAATGTCAGCTCACATATGTTTGTTCTAAGGAAAAAAACTAAACAAAAAAAACCTACCTTGAAAATTTACAATAAAAACAATATTCATAATAAACAATATACACTGTAGAACACACTGTACCTAATGCAAATGTGTACTTCAAGCACAAAGAAGAGTGTTTGTCTCTACTGCAGACAAAATACTGGTTGAACTAGTTACTTGGCACCGTGTCAGTAATAATTGGTTTTATGACACTTGAGAGAAAAACATGTTTTCTTGTCTCCTGGTGTGTCTATCTTGTGTTTCTCACGTGATCACATGACAGAAAAGAGCAGATGGACGGAGAGACAGGAGGATGCACAGGAGTATGGGAAGTTCTGTGAGCAGGCCAAGATCTAGTGGTTTTTAGAAGAGTGTTAAGTACAGACCAAAGCTGGATTCAAAGCAATTTCTAAAACAGAAAATATCTGTCCTGGCGAAGCATCGTGTAAACAAATTTAACTTAACCCCCCATTAAAAACCCCAAAAGGAATTCCAGCCCTTTTTCTTCAGCTTCAGGTTTTGAGCTCTAGCAATTGTGTCGCTGTGATTAAAGCATTCCTAACATTAACTAATACTGCTGGGTCAAAGAAAAAAATGCCACCTCACTAACTGTTTAAAAGAAGGTACAATCAGTACACAACTAATAACCAATACTGTAAACAATCATCCTCTGAGCAAACATGTGTTTTATGTGTGCACGCATTTTGCAGCCATGACATCAGGGTAAGTTTGTATGCAGTCATCAAATTTTCGAGGACCTCTGATTTAAAGGACTAGCATGCTATTAATTGCTAACTATGGTCAAGTTATCAATTATTGTCATAACTGTAATTTTCAATTTTGTGCTGATGATGGTGTGAAGAGTCAAGAGATCACCACAAAGAAATTACAAAGTCGTTTTAAATGAAACATTCATCAAATGTCATGACAATCCATTACCATCATTGCTCTTATTATGGTTCAAGCAATCGTCGCCCCAGTCAATCACCATCTGGAACAAAATCTTTTCCTTCTTTTTTAAAGAAAATAACTGCAAAAAATGTTATTCCTAAGGCAATACAGCCAGCAAAGCACAAACCCCCGATCAAAACAAATTATTTATACTTTTTATAGGTTACAGTGTGCGGTATTTAATGTTGTATTTCACAATATGGCATCAAAATAGAAAATACAGGCACAAGTTGCTTCTTTTATCTAATGGCTTTCAAAGTCCGAAATGATTGTTATTTAAATTAAAGGGGCTTTTAAGTCATCCCTGTTCACATACCCTTTAACCCTTTTTTCTTCTTCTTTTATGAGGGGCAGCCAATTAGATTTAATCAGCATGTGGGCGGGGCTTCTGTGTTTTTGTGTGCCTGCCTGCTTTTACCAACATAAAGAAGCTGTTTAGGGCAGTCTGAAGCTTCAGCTCTTGACTCTCAGAAATTCTGGCCAAGTTTAATATGAGCTTCACATCTTTGGTTTGGTCTAAAAAAAAAAAAGAAAAGAAAAAAAAAGAAAAAAGAAATCATTCCCTGATGTGAGCTGCATGATGGAAGTTATGAAAAGGGGAAAAGTAATTTCAGGTTGGGAGTGTCAGGGCCTCTGGCAGGCAGATAGTGTCCATCACTGATGCACTGAATACAGGACAGTTTAGCTCATCTTCCTGCACATACCAATCCTATTGCCTTGTTTCCCACACTTTGAACTGCTCATTCCTCAATTTGTCACTAAGCTGTCAATTAATATAAAATTCCTAATGGTAATTAACTTATTAAAGAAAGTCATTTAACCATGTGGATTCCTTTGATTATTGGGAGGGACACGATGTACAAAACCTGCATTGCGTGTAACCAACTCAACAGGAAAGTACTGTTCTATTTTAGTGCTATGTGTCCCCACCCTGACCTACTGTAAAACACTGTGGAAAACAATGCATCACAACGAGGGAAGGAGGGGGTCATCACTTTCTCGTAGTCTGTCACTCACATACACATATCTTATAAAACCATTAGACCCACCATAAACACGCTGGTGTTTACAGCATGAAACAGTACATACTAATAAGGATTATAATCACTGGGAAATCTAGCTTTAGGTTTATGGAACATGGCAGCTGGACATTTGTGTGTTTCTGAGGCTAAAATATGACAATTTATAGTATTAAACATTCATGACAGTAAAGGTATTTTGACAAGCAAAGAAACATCAGTGGTGTATTATTAACCACTCCTGTCCCATAAATATTAATAGGATGAAATATTAAAAAGTTGCACTTCAACCGAGCAAATGAATAATGAATGTTTTTGTATGGTGAGTAAGTCTGGTGCCATTTCCACATACCACCTGTTTCTAGAAAAGCACACACAGTGAAAGGTTAATGGATTTCATATATCATTGAAAAAGTCTGTGTAAAGTATAAATATAATATTCATTGCAACAACATAATATCATAAAGTATAAACAAGCTAACAATCATAAGGCAGAGGGTACAGGGTCTTATTAGTGCTGCACAGCTTTTCATGCTAATATCATAATATTCAAGGCCACTGTGCTCTCAGATATAGTCTTAACACAACCTTTACATGTTAGTCCAGTGAAATACATCTAAATGTCAGTGTAATGGTGGGCAGCCAATATTCTCTTTCACTTTCTTGTAACTCGTAGCAGTATTACCTTTACTTGTGGCACTTGTGTCTGAATTTCTCCTTGAAGTACCTCAAAATGGCATATTATTACAATCCATGAATATTTAAGTGGCTGCTCTACATTGATTATCATAATTTGCATCACAAGTTGAAATTTTATCTGAATGGCAGGTATAGAAATAGGAAGACAAATGGCTTTGTACTTCTTCAAACCTTTGACTCTCTTGATATTGATTATACAGCTGGGTTTGGGAGACATTACTTCATAAACATTCAGTGTAAGAGCCAGTCAAACCACAAGTGTGTACCTTTAGACTAATTATTTATGAAAGATAGTAAAATTATACTATATAGTAAATTAAGAAGTGTAGATCTGTATTCACTAAGCTGGGATCTAATATTTTGTTACTGTTTAGATTCATTGAATGCGTCTTGGCCTTGTATTTGGGATCTTGGAGGGTGTAGAGGATGGCAGTGCATGGAAATTAACATTAATCTGGCTTCCAGTCAACTTTGGAATTTTCTGTTTAACAAAAGCTGAAACAGAAATTGGTTTCTGTGGCAGCTGTCACTGCCTGTAAAATAAGTACACTTCCTCCAACCACATTATTACAGAATTACAAGCGGCTCATTTGATACTGTGAAACCTGATATGTTATGTGATGTGGTATGCTCTGCTTACCAAACTAATTTTAAGCTCGTCTCCAGCCTTATTCCATATCCGTTATCAGCCCATAAAAGGGTTTATTGGGCAGGTTACAGCCTGTTAATTAGCAGTAAGGTTGTCCCAACGTACTCGTTACAATCCAGCAAATCCACAGTAAGTGAAACCATTTATGGAACATTTTGTCAAATTCTAAATGTAGTACGTTTTTAGCTCTTTTGTATCTTTTTGAATACATTCATACGACTGAAAACAATCAAGCCTGGCCATTTTAGTTTACCTTTAAAAAGCCACGTCTGTCTAGATCCTGTACTAACATTTTTTTCCCCAAATTAAGTTGTTAGTGTTGAAATTATTCACTGTGGATTAATCAAAATAATAACTGTACAAGTTGTTCCCACTTTTAACTAAGGAAACATAGGTGTTTATACAAAAGTCACAATGATACGCTATAAACCTCACAGTGTTTTCAGCTTTTCATATCTTTGTAATGTGGGACTCATTCAGAGAACACATTAGCATGCAGCACATTTATTTGAGGTCACTGGAGGATAAATAATTCAATCTGGGTGGAAGGAGATTTAATGACAATGTCAAATTAGTCTTTTAATGAAATTAATTTCATGCTCTCAGGCTGTGTACAACTAAACACCCACAACACTTAACACTTTCAAGAATCTAATATTCTGTGATATCAAATGAGCTTGTATAACTCTGGGGAATAAAGTTCTTAATTATTCACTGCAGGAGGTATGGCAAGTCTGATGGCATTTGAAGGTGAAAAATGAATTTGTGGATCTTACTTGATGAGAGCTGTCCTGGGCGAGTCGTTCTGCTCCCCACTTTTAGGAACACTGGAGGGCTGAAGAGTAGAAGGTGGACTACGGGTAGATGGAAGAGTGGAGGATGAAGCGGGAACAGAGGAGGAAGAGGGGGGAGGGGCCTGCTTAACTGGGCTCTTGACGCTTCGAAGAAGACGGAAAGACTTGACTCGGCTGTGATTGCTCCGACCGTGAACCACCTTGCCAACAGGTCCTGTACCTGACCTCTTTAAAGTTTGCTCTGACCTGAAATACAATCGTACATGGCTGTAGTTAATTTGAATCACTTCACTGAGGGATATTTCTAAAATTAAATCTGAAATGTAAACATTTATACAATGCAGTTAAAGTGATCAGCAGTTACTTGTACATGGGAATGAATACATAAAAACAACAGCAAAGGGTGAGAGAATCTATATGAATATGAAGCAGGAATGTAATGTAATGTTTTGGGAGCATAAGGGAAGAAGCTAGACCTTGTGGAGGGCCTTGTTAGGTTCACCTCAACCACATTATGATTCCGCTTACATTTACTCATGCATGTAACCTCATAACATGATCATTATGTAGGCCACGAACACACTTCATGACAAGTATGAATGAAAAATACTTTAAAAAAAAACAAAAAAACTGAGTATGTTTTTTTGAAAGAAGGAAGTTATAATTTAAGGGGTTTTTGTAACTTCAAAACAATGAAGGTATGTACTACAAGAAAAGGCTTTTGTGTTTCTGCTCATGGAGTGATACTATGGAACAGTCTGAAGATGGAACTAAAGCAATGTCCAAAGATAAAACTGTTCAAAAAGAGTTATAAAAATATGATCTTCTCGAACTATAAAGAAAAGGAAAATATTTAAATTAAGTGAATGTCTCTATTAAAAAAAAAACAAACAAAAAAACTCATGATGTGATATTATAGTATATAGTATATCAGAAATCTGTTCACTGTTTTTATTACAAATTATATCAGTAAGGAAGCTGACTAAATATTAACTGATAATTTATGGCAAAGGGGTGGGATTAAATAAGTTTACTTCTTCCCTTTCAACATGTAAATTAATCAGAACTTTTTTTTGGTATGTAATTTGTACAGTATTTTTTTTCTCTCTTATTTTTTTTTCTAAATGTACTTGTATATTGTTCACATGTTGAAATAAAATTACCAATCAGTCAATCAAATGTGGGCAAGTACTTCAAACCTTTAGGCTACTTAGACTACTATACACCAAACATTCTTCTATGTATATGTGTTAAATATACAATCATGACAATTTGTCACACTAGGTTCAGGTTTTTGGGGCTGGGTGGTTAATCAGACTTTAATTTAAATTATGATTTTGGATTTCAGTGATTATGACAAAATAACCACGATAACATTCTGACTTTTTTGAGCATGAAGCTTGGTTTTATGTTATAAATCAGGTTTGTCCCAATCATGTGTATGTCACCTTTCCTTAAAACTCACATCTCAGAGACAACATGACAAAAAGAAAAAAAACCCACACAAACAAAAACAAAAAATAAGATCTACATCAAATGAACAAAAGTTAAAAGGTCCAAAGTAAAAGGCTTTGACAAGTAAATCTGTGGATCGTTCACAGATGCACCACCACGCCCACCACGTTCACCTCTCTCTCTTTTTTCACCTGATTATTTGAACTTTAAAAAACAAAAACCTTTTCTTCTCATCTTGCAGTTTTTGCAGTTATTGAGCAAACTCAGCTAGGGGCAAGTATAGCTTCTTGTTCCATCTCATGACAAACATACATATACTGTAATGGAAAATACAATGAAACTCAATATCTGGGGTGGGATTACATAAAAATGATGCTAATGTCAAGACTTCAAAAGTTATTCCATACCATAAAGAACTTTCCCAAATAGATTTTGGATCCAGATTTGAAGATTAAAAGTATCACATCTGTTGAATGTTGAATGTATGTAGGCCTGCTTAGGCAGGTAGGGAGGCCAGGGGGAATTCTGAGGGACAAATGCCACAAAGGAACGCAGAGCATTCCTACTGTTGTCTGATGGACGGCCTCCTGTACGTCGCTTCATGTTTTGTCTACTGGTTTCTTAACAAATTCAACATGTCTGACAGTATACCTCTGAGACAAAGGCTAAGCAAAAATACTCAAACACTGCACGGGGACAGGTATGTCACACAATCTTGGTATAATGCCAAGAGACTGTGGTATTCAAGTAGTGTGACCTCTTAGTGTAACAGGGGTCACACACTACCACCAATCCCTGAACTTTGACCCCGCTGAAGCTGGACCTACTTAGCCAAGCCTGATAGGATCCTAAGCAAGATTTTTTTCTTTGATGTTTGCTGTGAGCACACAGTAACTTCTCAAGTCCTGGTTCAACATATGAATTGTTTGTGAACACATTATACAGAAAACAAAAATCCTGATGCAAACTGAGTATTTTTGTTTGCCCTCAGGAGAAGAGAACAGAGCTCACCCTCTCAGTGACTTGCTGATTAAATTAAGAACATTTTAGAAAGCCTTTGCAGTAAGCAATGTTAAAAATGTATTTTTACTGAATCCTTGAAGCCCTGCTGAGAGACACAGCAAAAAGAAAAGAACAAAGCTAACAAACTGGATCAGACTTAAATTATGCAAAACTCTGCACAAGTGAGATGTGCAAAGGATTTTTCTCATCGTCTTTGTTACTGAACATTTTAATTTCACACTTGGGTGGTGTGAACTGCTTCGTTTTCACTGACCTGCCGTGACGAGAAATCATCTAATGTTTAAAACGTGTGTTCTTAATGTGACAACAATCTTACAGGCTAATATGAGGTTTAATTAATCTGTATAATAATTTATAACAGCTCTATTACCATCTCAGATATTGGAAAATAATTACTAATGCTATCATCCTAAACCTACATTAGTGTTTGACTCTGAAAAAGGTATATCATCCAGTCACACTTGTATTATTATCATTATTGTTAAATAACAAAATATTTCTCCTTCTGTAAAAAACGCATCTGGAACACGACTCATCTTGAAGGGGATTCAGTTTGGTTTTATAGGGCTTTGGAGTTGACGTAACGCCGCAATGCATTGTGGGAGACGCGGCACCATATTGGCAGGCCACAAATTAAAACAAACACACTGTATTGGAAGGAAGATTGCTACGAACCATACTTAAAAGCAGCTTAAAAGAAAAAGGATGGTATAGAGACAGATTGCGTCCGGATGCAGAGAGACGGTACCTGCAAAAAATAGCGTGCATTGGAAATGTGGCCCCGTATGAATTACAGCAGTGGAGTACAAACCCTGAAGACCAACCGCTATTGACTTGCCATGATATATTCTCGTACCTTGTCTGTGGAATCAGCGCATACACGGCGAACCAGTTTTGCAATCATAAATCTCTGGAGGCGCACATCCAATTCACCAAGGATTGGGTGCAAGATTTGGCTATTTTAAACCTCCACATTGTGAATACGTCATCATTCAAACAAAGGTAAGTCAGCGTGAGACAAGTCAGCTTGTTAAGACAGAAGGCATTTTCACCACCTGGTCCTAACCCTCATCCCCTAATTTGCCACCCTATTACAATAATCCCAGTGGTGACCCCTGGTGACCCACAGCCTGGTTACAACAACCTAAACCACTTGACACAAAGACAAAAGCTGCGAGGAATGACAAGTATGCTTGAAACATGAGCACAAACACATGCATGAGTACACACACATGTACACACACACACCACTAACATAAGTGTGACAGAAAAAACCATTACAATGGGAGGATTAGAAGACTTTTGTGAAATTCTAAAAGCTGCTGAAAACCGAGTTGGTTTCACAATAGAGAACAATACTTTCTGTGAAATTGTAAAAGTTAAAAAAAAAAATTAAATGACTGTATGCTACCATGCAGCAAGCACAATTTGTAACTGTTTGTGTTCTTATGTAAGGATTAAGGTTTCATTACATGGTGTTGGACAAAACCAGCGGCCTGGTTGGCAGGTTAACAAAAAAAGTATCCCAGGTAACAAAAACAGCAGGAAGGGTGTGCAAAACTGGACAGTGTAAGCGATTCACCTGCATTTGTGACTAAAAATAGAAGCATGCAGACTGTTAAATGTATTTAGGAGTACGTGCACGAACAAAAGCAAATGCGTATCAGCTCAGGCAGCCTCTTACTCTTACTTTTACATACAACAAATACAAAATAACCAAAAAAAAAAGCAGTGACAGTAATAATGTTATTACGGTGGTAGTTCATTGTGGTGCTGCCAACTCTCCTCTTTGACACACACATACACAGTTTTCACTTACTTCCATCCAGTGCTGGTTGGTTTTACACTGTGAAAAAGCTGTTTTAAAATGAGGTAAGACAAAAGCTGCCTGTGTTTGTCTGCCCATGCAAATAAACTGCAAATCTGGCAGATTTCATGTACATTTTGCTGCAGGAAGACATCAACCATCCGCCTCTATGTCAGTACCTGCAGCATGCAGGTGTGAGTGCAAGAGCACGGAGCACATTGTTTACTCCAACACATATACTGTTAAGATTTTAACACAACTGAAGGTTTTGATTATTAAAAATCTTAGTTCTCTACACTAAATATTTAAGGTTAAGCTTCCCAAACATATTTAAAAGTAATTAAAACCAGTTAAATGTTTAATGGGCCAGTGAAACATAAATGAGACCAATAAAATGGGAAAATGTAACA